AAATTTTTAAAAAAATTAAATTCGCTAGATAATCTTTTGGGAATACCGCCATAGTGATTAGAAGAAAGTTCTGAACAAAAAAATGTATGGCGCAATTTATGATTGGTCCAGCGGATGCTGAGCTACACTCAAAAATATTTTGGAAACATTTTTGAAAAATTAAATTCGCGAGATAATTGTTCGGGAATACCGCCAAATTCTTTAGCAAAAAGTAGCGAACAAAAAATGTATGGCGCACTTTTTGATTGGTCCAGCGGATGCTGAGCTAAACTAGAAAACAAATTTGGAAAAATTATCGAAAAACTTAATTCGCGAGATAATTGTTCGAGAATTCCACCAATAAAATAGGGAAAAAGTTTCGAACAAAAAATGTATGTCGCACTTTTTGATTGGTCCAGCGGATGCTGAGCTAAACTAGAAAACAAATTCGGAAAAATTATCGAAAAACTTAATTCGCGAGATAATTGTTCGAGAATTCCACCAATAAAATAGGGAAAAAGTTTCGAACAAAAAATGTATGTCGCACTTTTTGATTGGTCCAGCGGATGCTGAGCTACACTCAAAAATATTTTGAAAAAATTTTAAAAAAATTAAATTCGCTAGATAATCTTTTGGGAATACCGCCATAGTGATTAGAAGAAAGTTCTGAACAAAAAATGTATGGCGCACTTTTTGATTGGTCCAGCGGATGCTGAGCTAAACTAGAAAACAAATTCGGAAAAATTATCGAAAAACTTAATTCGCGAGATAATCGTTCGGGAATACCACCAATAAATTAGGGAGAAAGTTTCGAACAAAAAATGTATGGCGCACTTTTTGATTGGTCCAGCGGATGCTGAGCTAAACTAGAAAACAAAATCGGAAAAATTATCGAAAAACTTAATTCGCGAGATAATTGTTCGGGAATACCACCAATAAATTAGGGAAAAAGTTTGGAAGAAAAAATGTATGGCGCACTCTTTGATTGGTCCAGCGGATGCTGAGCTACACTCAAAAATATTTTGAAAAAATTTTCAAAAAATTAAATTCGCGAATTAATTGTTCGGGAATACCGCCAAATTCTTTAGCAAAAAGTAGCGAACAAAAAATGTATGGCGCACTTTTTGATTAGTCCAGCGAATGCTGAGCTAAACTAGAAAACAAATTTGGAAAAATTTCGAAAAACTAATTTCGCGAGATAGTCGCTCCGGAATACCACCAAAAAAATAGTCAAAAAGTTCCGAACAAAAAATGTATGTCGCACTTTTTGATTGGTCCAGCGGATGCTGAGCTACACTCAAAAATATTTTGGAAAAATTTTCGAAAAATTAAATTCGCGAGATAATTGTTCGAGAATACCGCTATAGTGATTAGAAGAAAGTTCCCAACAATAAATGTTTGGCGCACTTTATGATTGGTCCAGCGGATGCTGAGCTACACTCAAAAATATTTTGGAAAAATTTTCGAAAAAATAAATTCGCGAGATAATTGTTCGGGAATACCGTCAAATTCTTTAGCAAAAAGTAGCGAACAAAAAATGTATGGCGCACTTTTTGATTGGTCCAGCGGATGCTGAGCTACACTCAAAAATATTTTTAAAAAATTTTCAAAAAATTAAATTCGCGAGATAATTGTTCGGGAATACCGCCATATTCTTTAGCAAAAAGTAGCGAACAAAAAATGTATGGCGCATTTTTTGATTGGTCCAGCGGATGCTGAGCTACACTCAAAAATATTTTGGAAAAATTTTCGAAAAATAAAATTCGCGAGATAATCGTTCGAGAATACCGCTATAGTGATAAGAAGAAAGTTCCCAACAATAAATGTATGGCGCACTTTATGATTGGTCCAGCGGATGCTGAGCTACACTTAAAAATAATTTAGAAAAATTTTCGAAAAATTAAATTCGCGAGATAATTGTTCGGGAATACCGCCATATTCTTTAGCAAAAAGTAGCGAATAAAAAATATATGGCGCACTTTTTGATTGGTCCAGCGGATGCTGAGCTAAACTAGAAAACAAATTCGGAAAAATTATCGAAAAACTTAATTCGCGAGATAATCGTTCGGGAATACCACCAATAAATTAGGGAAAAAGTTTCGAACAAAAAATGTATGTCGCACTTTTTGATTGGTCCAGCGGATGCTGAGCTACACTCAAAAATATTTTGGAAAAATTTTCGAAAAATTAAATTCGCGAGATAATTGTTCGAGAATACCGCTATAGTGATTAGAAGAAAGTTCCCAACAATAAATGTATGGCGCACTTTATGATTGGTCCAGCGGATGCTGAGCTACACTCAAAAATATTTTGGAAAAATTTTCGAAAAAATAAATTCGCGAGATAATTGTTCGGGAATACCGCCAAATTCTTTAGCAAAAAGTAGCGAACAAAAAGTGTATGGCGCACTTTTTGATTGGTCAAGCGGATGCTGAGCTAAACTAGAAAACAAATTCGGAAAAATTTTCGAAAAATTAAATTCGCGAGATAATCGTTCGGGAATACTGCCAAAAAAAATTTTTGGAAAAAAGACGATAAAAATTTTTTTTTGAGATATTTTTAAAAATCCTTTGGTCAGATTTGAGATATTAATATGATAAATGAGCCTACCCAGATCCGAGTAGAGGAAGACCATTTTTACCACCAAAAACGCATCCAAAAGCATAAAAAACTTACCAAAAAGTTGTAAATTCAGATGTTCATTACATGAACATTTTGCTTCCTCTTTACGATCAGCAAAAAAATTTGCTTCCTCGTGGAGAAAGCAAAATTTTATTGACAAAATGTGAATTTTTGATTTTTTGACTTTCATTAATTCTTTAAATTTACCTTAAATGAATACTTTATATATATCGATCGATTCGTCTTGACGTAAAGAATACGATTTTTTTATATATAACCTTAAATTTTTCTATTTAAAAATTTTTTCGATTAAAAAAAAATTTTTGGAAAAAAGACCATAAAATTTTTTTTTTTGAGTATTTTTCAAAATCCTTTTGTCAGATTTGAGATATTAATATGATAAATGAGCCTACCAAATTTTATCTAAATCCATTAAAACCTGTTAAAGTTATCTTCTAAACAAAAAAGGGATCCACACACACACACACACATACACACACACATACATACATCCGGACAATTGATCAGGATCTCATATAACATGTTTCTATAAAGAAAAAAATTTGTTTCCGCCACTTTGAAAAGTTTTATAAACGAAAGGACTACAAAGCTTCCTCCACGAGGAAGCAAAAATTCAAAATGGCGGACCCAATATGGCATCAAATCCATTGTAAAATTTAAAAATTTTGATATATATCATTGCCAAAATATCAATGAATTCGCCTGAATTTGGTTACTTATAGATTTTTGGGGTCGCTGATTACGAATTCGATGTCAGTTTTTCAAAATTCAAAATAGCGGATCCAATAAATAATTAGGTTAAGAATTATTTATTGGTACTTTAAATTTCCAGTATTTTAATTCATCATATAAGTTATTGATGTTTAAAATGATTTTCAATGTATCACAAAAATTTTATTGATTATCACCTTGAAGTCATGGAATTTTGCGAGGAAAAATTTATAAAAATCCTATAAATACATAACCAAACGGATATCATACAAGGTGAAAAAAAACAAATCGCCCTCTTAACAAAAGGATATCCCTAGGATATCCATAGGATATCCATATCAATGGTCTATATCCTAGAATGGTCCCCAGAATATCTTGGGATATCCATAGGATATCCAAACCGCCGGTCTTTGGGACATCAACAGGACATCCATAGGATATCCACAGGATATCCCTAAGACATCCACAAAATATCTATTGGATATTATATCGCAGGATATCCATGGGATATCCGTGGGCTATTCTTAGGATATTCACTGGGATATTTAATATCTCAACATATATTTTTAAAGGTTAAAATTGTTAAGCTAATATAATGAATAATAATATAATAAAAACAAAAATCTTATGGTCCCCAGGATATCTTGGGATATCCCTAGGATATCCAAACCGCCGGTCTGTGGGACATCAACAGGACATCCATAGGATATCCACAGGATATCCCTAAGACATCCACAAAATATCTATTGGATATTATATCACAGGATATCCATGGAATATCCTCAGGATATCCGTGGGATATTCTTAGGATATTCACGGGATATTTAATATCTCAACATATATTTTTAAAGGTTAAAATTGTTAAGCTAATATAATGAATAATAATATAATAAAAAGAAAAATCTTATGAGCTTGTAATTTATTTTAAATGAAGATTTGAAACGCATTTTTCAAAGTTTTTAAATAAACTCATGCACTTAATGTATAATTAATATTAATAGTTATTCGTTATTTGCGGGGAAGAATTTATATTGTTTAAAGCCAATTTATTTTCTGACAATATTAAGCATATGAATAAAGGAGTCTCATAATGACTTTAAAAACAGTATCCTGAGAATATCCTCTTGACATCCAGAAGATATACTGAGAATATCCTGAAAATATCTGTGGGATATTCTGACGATATCTATGGGATATCCTGATGATATCTGTGGGATATCCTGACGATATCTATGGGATATCTGGAGGTCATGTATGAAAATCTATAGAGATATCCAGAAGATATCCGCCGATTTTTTGGATATCCTTAAGAGATCCTTTTGATATCCATAGGACATCCCTAGAATATCTGCGGGATATTATCAATATATCCCAAGATATCTTGTGTTATTAGGGCGTCATTATTTTCACAATGCTTTTAACAAAAAGACGTTATCGAAGGTCGGGGAAAATGATAATAAACCGCGCAGATTAAATTATGCTGATGAAAAAAGAGTAAATTTTAAAATCGTCTTTAACCTTTCATCTATGACATGAGTCAACTATTTTTTTTTGAAAATTTGTTACGAGTTCAAATGTCAATTGTAAATTATTTTTTTTTTTTTAGTTGTTTTTGTTCCTCTCTCTCTCATTCTCTTCATAAATTCAACATTTCCATTCGATACTTAATATATAAATTGCAGTGTATTACAATAAACGATCACAGTTAGTATAGATTTTGGAAAAAGATGTTGATAAAATTGTTTATAGTTTTGGGCCTTGCTGCCCTAATAAGATCAGCATGTATAATGCGAAGGACAGTTGATATGGCTGAAAAAGACGTTGTTGTAGTCTGCGCATTTATTAAGGATCTTAAAGTTGAAATGTCCAAAGTACCAGACGATGTGAATGTTGTTGCTGTGGTTATATTAGAGAGTAATATACCCAAAGTTGAAGTTGGTGTTTTTGAAAGATTTGGCTCAACAATGGAACGATTGGAAATTAATCATTCAGGAGTTGAAGACGTTGAAGATCATGCATTCAAGGGATTGACAAAATTAAAAAAATTGTCAATGGTAATGAATAAGCTACAGGAAATAAGATCCGGTTGGATGAATGATATGACAGCGTTGACTGACGTTAATTTTAATTCAAATAGATTGTCAAAAGTTGATAAAGATGTTGATGTATCGAGAGTGGTGAATGTTGATATTGGTGATAATCATTTTAAATGTATGATCGTCGAAATGATGGATATGATGAAAAATATCAAAACAATGAAGGTTGTAATGAATCCATTGTCTTGGAAATGTATGGTTGAAATGGAGGATTGGATGAAGAATCATCCGAATGTTGTCGGTGATTTTGCAGGAAAGGATCTTGGTTTGGAGCATATGTTCGAAGTTGTAAGAGAATGTATGAAATCAGTACCTGATGTCACAGTTGATGAGGCAGTTGACGCTTGCGTAGAATCTAAAATGAATGTTGTTCGATAAATAATAAATGTTAAAATTCTCTCTTATTTTCAATAAATAATATTTTCTATTTGTTAAAATTTTGGCGAAACATTCTTTTTTTTTTTAGAATTTAAACTTTAATTTTTGAAACAAAATTATTTACTTTAATTCCTTTTTAATGCTTTATATTGTTGTATAATAATTTTTGTGTAATTTTTATCAATGTAAATAAAAATGTTATTTGAAAATTTGGTTTTAATTTAATAATTTTCTTCACCCATGCCAATTCTATTTATTTTATTTCAATATCTTTAGAAATCTAATTTTTTTTTAAATTAAATTTGTTCTAATAACAGTTTAAAAAACTTAAAAACTGATTTTGATTTTATATGTATAAAAAGGAAAAGGAATTTTTAATTAAAATAAAACTATCATATAAACATAACCTATAACAACGTGCAATGCGCTTTGAAGTATATAAAACAAAAAATTAACAGGTTATGTTTATTATAATTTTCTCATTATTAAATGTTCCTTTTTAATTATAAAATCAAAATCGGTTTTAAAGAAAATTTAAATTAAATATTATATTTATAAATATATTTAATTTAATTTAACATCATTACGTTGTATCTCGAGAGAAAATAAGTATATATATATTCCCAATTTCAAATTATCATAAACATAACCTAGAATTATTCATAATTAGATGCTTTTATTTTTATGATGATGAATAACAATTTATTTATCAAAATATTTTGATAGAGTGAAGTATATTGATAAAATAATAAAAAAATATTTTGTCATTTAAATCATCTTGCTGTGTGACAAAATGTTTAACGCAAAAGATATATATTATTAGAACATATATATATATATAAATGTATAATCATCTTAATTAAGGTCAATTAATAAAGAATTAAATATATCTTTATTGACATATTTTATTGTATTTAACATTTGACATTTAACACTTATCCTTGACTATTAACCGCAATCTAATTAATAATAATTTATATACATATTGTCAATTATTTAAGAATTATCTTTATTATCATTTTATATGCTTAACATTTTGACATTTGATACTTATATCCTTTATTGTTAACCGCAAAATCTAATTATTAATATAACATTGTAACATATATATAAGTTTGAAATTGCTTTGAACTTTAGCTATATAAATTCGTAAATATTTACTGTTATACCATATGTGGAAACTTCCTCTATTAGAAAATAAACTTTTTAAATTTTAACTGATTTAAAAAAATTTTTTTTTTTTTATAATCAGTGTATAATTTGCAGATATCTCTGTATTTGAATTTTTTTTGTTAAAAATTGTATTATTATTTATTATTATTATTATTTTAATATATTTTTTTGTAGAAAAATATACTTTTATATATATTTAAAATCACATGAATTTAATGTTAAAAATTTTTTAAATCAATTAATCCTTGCGTGCCTGAGCTGGGTCCCTCGGATCCAGACAACTTTTTTTTCATATACTTTAACATCTGCGCTTGAAAATCGTTACGCAGGGGTTTTTGGGGTTTGCTGATTACAAATCTGATGTTACTTTTTCAAAATTCAAAATAGCGGAAACAATATGGCTGATATATTTTTTTTAATTTGACAGATTTGCTTGAAACTCGTTATTCAGAGGTTTTCAATGTGTTTTCTTTCGCTGATTACAAATCTGATATTAGTAAATTGTATTGATTTTTAATTTTCCTTTCCGCCATATTAAATCAGACATTTCAAATTTTGAAAAACTAACATCAGATTTGAAATCAGCGATCCCGAAAACCCCCGAGTAACGATTTTCAAGCGAATCCGAACTATTATTTAAAAATTCATCCCGTATATTGGATCCGCCATTTTGAATTTTGAAAAACGGACACCGGATTTTTCATCAGCGACCCCAAAAACCCCCGAGTAACGATTTTCAAACAAATATGTTTAATTTTTAAAAACTTGTTCGCCATATTGGATTCGCCATTTTGAATTTTTCAAATCTAACGTTTTTTAAAAAAAATAACGTTTTTTCCTAAAAAATGTGTTTTTGGGTTTTTTTTTTGGAATCAATGATTACGAATGTGATGTATTATTTTAAAAATTTTGAATATTTAAAATGGCGGTTCCAATATGGCGGATGCTTTTTTGAAAAATCATTGTTTTTTTAAAAAAAATTGATTTTTGAGGATTTTTGAGGTTGTTGATTGCAAAACTAAAGTCACATTCTTAAAAATTTGAAAAATTAAATATGGCTGATCAGCCACCCAAAAAAACCCTAAGATACTCATTTTCACGAAAATCCAATATTTTTTCAAAGAAACTAATATTTTTGAAATAATTCATCCTACATATTGGATTTGATAATTTGAATTTTGAAAAACTAACATCAAATTCATAATAAGTGACACCAAAAACCCTCGAATACCAATTTTTAAGCAAATTTAAGCAATTTTTCATAATATTGTCAGCCATATTAGATCCGCCATTTTGAATTTTGGAAAACTGACATCGAATTCGTAATCAGGGAACCCAAAAAATCCCGAGTACCAATTTTTAAGCAAATTTAAGCAATTTCTCATAATATTGTCAGCCACATTAGATCCGCCATTTTGAATTTTGGAAAACTAACATCGAATTCGTAATCAGGGACCCCAAAAAATCCCGAGTACCAATTTTTAAGCAAATTAAAGCAATTTTTCATAATATTGTCAGCCATATTGGATCCGCCATTTTGAATTTTGGAAAACTAACATCGAATTCATAATCAGCGATTCCTAAAATCCGTGAGTCCTAATTATTAAGCGAATACAAACGATTTTTGAAAATTTTGTCCGCCATATTGGATCCGCCATTTTGAATTTTGAAAACTAACATCGAATTCGTAATCAGGGACCCCAAAAAATCCCGAGTACCAATTTTTAAGCAAATTTAAGCAATTTTTCATAATATTTTCAGCCATATTGGATCCGCCATTTTGAATTTTGAAAAACTAACATCGAATTCATAATCAGCCCCTGAATTGGAAGTTTGAAGCAAATCCGTACAGTGGTTTCGCTGGGTCACAAAAGAGTATATGAAATAAATGGTTGACACATAAATGCGTCAATGCCAACGAAGGGGTTAAGAGAAAGAATAATAATAATAATAATAATAATAATAATAATAATAATAATAATAATAATAATAATAATAATAATAATAATAATAATTAAAAACATCAAAAAGCTTAGTTAACAATTTTCAAATAATACAATTAATTGTAACTATACCATGACGTTGATTATAATTTTTTTTTTTTACATAGCTTTAAATTTTTTCTTTGTTTTTTTTTCGAGGTCAAAAGAGATTTTTCTTTTATAGGATTATCTAATGTCAAAATCACAAATAACCTGATATCGCCGATATATGTGAGCGTCTATAAAATAATTTTCATTCACACTATTAAATCAGTCGTGAATTGTTTTGTTCAATCACACATAATATAATGAAGCTATTTATAATTTGCTCATTCTTATTATCAGCAGTGTTACTTTCGGACGCTGTTTGCAATAGAAATACCATAAAGCATAATGGTGAAGATGTTGTTGTTTGGTTTTGCGTGCGCTCTAAGGATGTTGTTGCCGATGTTGCAAGAGCGCCAAAAGATGTAAAAGTCGTTGTTTTTGCATATTCTGATATTCCAGTTTTGAAAAATGATGTTATGACACCAGTAGCCAATGATTTGGTTGTATTATCAATTGTTCATTGTAATATGGAAGATATTGAAGATGATGCATTAAAGGGTATGGTTAATTTGAAGAGATTAATTGTATCGCACAATAAATTGAAAAAAGTCAAAGCAGCATGGTTTAAGGATGCAGTGAATGTAAAAATGATTGATATCCAGGATAATATGATTGAAATGGTTGAGGACGATGTTGCTGAACATTGGAAAAATGTTGAAATGTTACATATGTCGGGTAATAAAGTTAAATGTATGTCTGTTGATTTTATGAATCATATGACAAAATTAAATCATGTCGATATGGAAATGAATCCATGGCATATGAGATGTTTTAAGGAAATAATGAATTGGCTTAAAGAAAAGGAACTTATTGGTGAGAAAGGAGCAAAAATAATTGATAGTAAAATGATGGTACAAACAGATGTTTGTGTTAATGAAATGAAGAAAGACGATAAAGTTGACGATGTTGCGGTTGATAAATGTGTAATGGAATTTGTTGAAAAAATGATGGTTGATAAAGTGGTTGATGTCGTTATGTAAATTTTGCAAATGTAAATTAAAAAAAAAAAGCGAAAAACATTTTTCTACATTTTTTATAATTTGGTACAATAATTCACAGTGGCTGTTTTTATATATATCCCTTAAAAAGTTAATAGAACATTATTTTAACTTTAAATCACCTATTTTCAATATATTAAGAAATTTAATTTCTATTCCACTTTGTATGTTTAATTTTAATAAATTTGTAAAAAAAAGAAATTCAATTCTGTTATATTGTGATATAATAATTTTATATATTCACATATGTCTCAAATAATAATCCTTCAATGTAATTAACTTTAAAATTTAATGAATCTCCTCTATTGACTTTTTAAAATCCTTTATTTATATCCCTTGGGTATCTGCTTAATTTTCCTGTGTAATCTTTCTTATTATTATTTATAAACATTTTATTACGTTTAATTTTTAGATTTATTACAAGTTTTTAAAAACTGTTTTAATATTATTTAATTGTTATTTATTTCAATTATAAATAATTAATAAAATTAAATAATAATTGACGTTAACTATTTAATTACAACTGAATAAAGAAAGGCTTATTTTTCATCTCATATAAATGGAAGTGACATATCGCTATTTGATTGATATAAATAGTTTTTCAATATCGTATCTACATAATACATATATATATGGGCGTATATTCCATTATTACAATCCAAATTTAAACACTGATTGCACATTAACAAAAGTTGAGAACTTATATAAAAAGAATCAGTTTAAAACTTTTTTTTTACAATAATGACATGTATTAATAGATTTTTAATTATTTTGTTTGCAATTTTAATTGATAATTATATGTGTACTTGTAATCAAACTTGTGCAGTTCTTAAACAAGTGAATGTGGTAATAATAAAATCAATATTTAAAGAAAAAAATATATAAAGTATACTATTTTTATGAATTCTTCTTTAATTTGATGAGTTTTCTCTTCTGGAAGTAGAAATATATATATATATATATATATAATTTTAACAGATCCCTTAAATTCCAGCAGATTCTTTTTTGTAGTTAAAACAATCATTATTATTTAAATTACATTTTAAAAAACTTTAAAAGAATTTTTAAATTGCAAATCTTGTTAAATAATAAATTTATAATAAGACATTCTATATTTTTGTATCAGCTATTTCGACATGGAGATCGCACACCAATCAAAGAATATCCAAATATTCCATTTACACGAGATCATTTTTTTCCAGCTGGTTTAGGAGAATTAACTAATGTAAGTAAAATTTTCCCTGGGGGTCAATTACATAACTTTTTCCGGATCCTACTTATTTATAATTCCGTATTTCAGATTTCGCATTCCACTTTCAAAATTCCGTATTCCAGATTCCACATTTCGTATTCCACTTTTCACATTCTGTATTCCTGATTCTACTTTAAAAATTCCGTATTCCAGATTCCACATTCCGGATTCCACTTTTCACATTCTGTATTCCTGATTCCACTTTAAAAATTCCGTATTCCAGATTCCACATTCCGGATTTCACTTTCAAAATTCCATATTCCAGATTCCACATTCCGAATTCCACTTTCAAAATTCCGTATTCTATATTCTGTATTCCACATTTCGTATTCTTCTTTTCACTTGCCGGATTACACATTCCAGAATCCACATTCCGGATTCTGGAATGTGGTATCCGGAATGTGGAATATAAGATACGGAATACGGAATCCAAAATTTGGAATCCAGAATATGGAATGTGAAAAGTGGAATACGGAATGTAAAATGTGGGATCCAGAATGTGGAATCCGGAATACAAAATGTAAAAAGTGGAATTCGGAAAAAGTTACGTAATTGATCCCTTGGCGCAATTCAATTATTTAATTATATTAATTGAAATTCGCTTCGAGAAAAATAAAACTGTCGTATAAAACGACTAGTGTATTACTAGTATATATATATCAATATATTTATAATTAAATAATATTTTAATTTAAATTATTAATTTATTAAACTTAATCAGTGTTTAATAATAAGAAAACGTTTAATTTTATAAAAATAATTTCGAGTGTAAAATTAAATGTGACATTATACCGATATGTAAATGCGAGCCGCGCGCTATATACGACAGATGGCAGCACCTAACTTTACCTTATTGGAATTATTAATCATTTCTTTAAATTAAAATGCAAAATTTTACGTTTTCTAATTAAAAATTGTTAATTTAGGTATTAAATTATGTTTCATACGAAAGCGTTGTGTACTATATGTTTTTTCAATTTTCTTTTCGTAATTCTCTAATTAATTATAGAGCAATAATTATAAATTTTTGTTCAAATATATATATTAAATAATTTGTGTTTATTTACAAAAATATTTATTTTTTGCATTTTATCAAGAGAGGAAAGCAAAGGTCCTATAAATTGGGAGAAATTCTACGAAATATGTATGACGATTTTTTGGGCAGTACTTATATGCCAAAAGATATTCATGTATTGAGCTCAAATCTCGATAGAACAAAAATGAGTTTACAACTTGTTTTAGCAGGTCTTTATCCACCAAATTCACAACAAAATTGGAATTCAAAATTAAATTGGCAACCAATACCAATAAATTATAGGCCAATTAATGAAGATTTTTTATTTCAACCAACGCTTCAGTGTAAATTGTAAAATAATATATTAAATTTGTAAATATTAATTTTTTTTTAAAAAAAAAGACAATTTTATTGTGTTAAATTAAATTTTTTTTATTAAATTATATTAATTTATACATATATATTTTTAGGTTTCGAAATGAATATAATAAGGCATGGATGTCACCAGATGTAAAGGAGAAAAAATTGTATTTTAAAGAATTAGGACAAAATTTAAGTGTTTTAACTGGATTTCATTTTGATCATTCAGATAAAATTGCTGGTCTTTATGCTGATCTTGAATGTTTAGAAAAAATAGGATTTTATTTTCCTAATTGGCTTAATTATTATTTTGAAAGTGGCATACTTATGGATGTTCTTGAAACAACGTTAAAAGTTGGAAATTCAAATAATATATTAAAAAGACTAAATGGAGGTAAAAAAAAAAATTTTTATCATTATTTCTAAATTTTATATATTAATAAATTACAATGATTAGTATAGCAACACAGATTCTGTGACTGGTTCTGATATCGGCTAAGTACCTACAGTTGGTAACTAGTCGGTCGGTATAATAGTATCCTACCATATCGATCGAATTAAAATTTCTTTGGGATTCTTACCTTACCGGTTGTTGATAAAGAAATAATCTTCATTACCGACCTAGAAGTCACTAACTGTATGTCGGTAAAAGAGTTTCCTATCTTATCGATCGAGTTGCAATTTCTGTTGGATTCCTACCTCACCGACTGTTGATAAAGCAAAAACCTGCGTTACTGACCTAGAAGGTACTGACTTAGGTCGGTAAACCAGTTTCCTACTTTATCGAACAAATTTGAATTTGTCAGAGTTCTACCTTACCTGCTGCCGATAAAGCAGAAATCTGCTTTACCTACCTAGATGTTACTGACTTATGTTGGTAAAACAGTGTCCTACCTTATCGATAGAGTTGCAATTTCTGTTGAAGTCTTACCTTACCGACTGTTGATTAAGCAGAAATCTGCATCACAGGTCTAGAAGGTACTGACTTATTTCGGTAAAACAATTTTCTATCATATCGACAGAGTTGGAATTTTTGTGAAAATTCTATCTTACCAACTGTTGTGAAAGTAGAAATCTACATTATCGACCTAGAAGGTCCTGACCTATGTCGGTAAATCAGTTTCTTTACTTATCGATCGAGTTGGCATTTCAGTCAGGTTTCTACCTCACCTGCTGCTGATAAAGCAGAAATCTGCATTACCGACCTAGAAGTTACTGATTGTATGTCGATAAAACAATTTCCTACCTTATCGATCTAGTTAAAATTTTTGTCAGATGTCTACCTTGCTGACTGCTGCTAAAGTAGAAATCTGCATTATCGACTGTAGGTATTTAGCTGAGATCAAAAACTCTCGCAGAAGCTATGTTACTATACTATTACAATGGAGAAAAAATTATACTTTTAGGAAAGTTTTTTCGTCAGTTTTTAGAAAATATGTTTGCCGTTAGTAAAAGTTCTCCAGAAATTGAAAGTAATCCTAAAATGTTGTTGTACAGCGGTCATGATCTTAATATTGTATCACTTCTCATTGCATTGAATAGCACTGAGTCGCTTTTAACTAGATTTACAAGTGCCGTAATAATGGAATTATTATTTATTGATAGTAATTATTATGTAAAGGTATGTACGGCTTTATTTATTTATTTATTTATTTTTATTTTTTTTTGCTTTTCACATTAAAAATCTCATTATAAAATGTAAATTTTTTTGATCATCTATAGCTATTATACTATTTGGGTATTCCACCTGTTACAAAAGAATTGAAGATTTTTAATTGTCAAAATCCATGTCCATTGGAAGAATTTCAACAACTTGTAAAACACATTATTCCATCAGATGAAGAATTTAAATGTGTTTAAAAAAAATTGTTAATAAAAATTTTCTATTCGATAAAATAAACAATTTATAAATGTATGTTCTTCATTTCATAGCGACGATATCTGAAATAATAATCGATTTTTAAACATTATAGTATAATTACTAAAAAAAATATTGAAGAAAGATATATAATGGATGAGAAAAATTTTTAAATATTTTTTATTAAGACAGGATATAATTTTTTAAAAAGTTTATTACTCACCTGCAACTGCTTTTAATTTCTAATTTAGAAATCTAAATTTTGGTTTATGCAAAATTTTTTTCTCATTTTTCCAATAATTACTTCAAGAAGAAAAACAATTATGGAAATAGAATATCCAATTACTAGTACACAAAATAGAATAGGTATAAGTTTTTCTTTTGTTATTATATCCGGTCCCAAAATATTATTTCGTAAATGTGCTGTAGATCCATAAAAATCTTTAAGTAATCCAAATTCAGAAACTTTTAGAATTATTTCATTGAAACGATCGTTATACGGTGAAAATGGCATTGATGTAAAAGTTGTGAAAGCATTTGCAATAGTTTCAGTAAGTATTTTAACATTTATTCCACCATTTTTTGCTTCATAGTTATTAGAGATGCACGACGAGCGAGACGAGCGAGAAATGTCTATAAACGAGAATAATTCTCGGCTTCTGATAACGATTCTCGTTCTCGTTCTCGACCTAAAAGACGAGATTGTAATATGTCGAGAATCTCGTATTTTCTCGTTCAATTCTCGTTTTTAAAAACTTTATTCTAGTTCTTTAAAAGAGAAAAATTCAAAAACCATAATGAGAAAAATATACTATTAATTCAATAGCCTTTTCGTCAAAAATACAAAAACTATTGATTCAAATGCATTATACTATTGAAATGGTAAAATATGATATAACTTCTATAGCTTATGCTTTTGAATTAATTATTTTTATAGTTTTAGTGGAAGTGATTTTGATTCAATATCATATTTTTCACTGCAGTAATTAATAAGATTTAGGGTTGAATAGTAAATCCTCTGTAAGAATATTATGAATTTAACAATTAGAAAAAATATTTTTAAATTATGGAACAGTTATTTATATATATCCAGATATTTATTTAATAAAAATCTTAAACAAGAAACCATTAAATTATTAAATTACAACTGATCATTCCATATTTTTTTCTTGAATTGAAGCAGCAAGGGAACAAGTAGCCCACGAATTCAAAGACATTAAAAATCTGATAGAGTCATCATGTAATCGATTGCGCCGTTTTGTAACAGTTAACGCACTTCGCGAAAATAAACGTTCACAAGACACAGAAGTTGCTTGTATCGATAAATAATCTTTTGCCATCTTGGAGAGAATCGGATAAGTCTTTTGGTGGTTTTTCCACCATTCCAAAATGTCTGTTGTACTGTCAGCTCGTTTCTCCGAAGAATAAATACTAAACTCTCGTTGCCAGTCATTTGTTAGATTTTTATCAGCAGTGTTTTCTTCAAAAAATGCATTTGGATCAATAATATCATCATTTTCATCACTATCCATTGTATTTTCTAACTGATTACTGGATTTGTTAGATTCATCAGTACTCTACAAAGAAATACGTTTAATTAAGAAATTTGTTTACATTTCACTAATTGAAAAATTTATTTTTTATAATAGATTATTTAAATAAAATAATTTTAAAAAGTGACTTGGTTTTCTTGAATGTTTTAAAATAAAAAAAGCGAAGTATTATAAAGTCATAACTTTTTTCTAATTTAGAATTTTTTTAATTCAAAGAAATGTTTTTAAACAAAAAACAATGTTTTATGTTTAACTCTAAAATTTTTTTAAAACAAACAATTTTTTCATTGATAATTCACAAAATTCTGTTATTCAAAGAAACTAAGCTGCATGTAAACAAATTTATTCTAATGGTTACTTTAATAAAGGTTTTAGTGTAGAGCTAATAAAAAAACGAACTTTATAATTAACAAATCAGTAAGCGAAATACTGTGCTTTTTTATGTAAAACATTGAAATTGCATTTTAAATTGTAATGCTGTAATTTTAATAAAATGTAATATTATTACTTGATTTTCTTGATTCTGTGTTGAATTGGAATACACTGTACTTAAAACTGCTTTGAATTTCTTAATCGCTGTATTTTTCATTTCTCTACCCCAAGCCGTTTTCTCAAAAGTTTCAATTTTGAACCTTGGATCCAGGATAAGAACTGTACAGTACGTCCAGTTTGTCTTTGAATAATGCTTCATTATCTTTTCTTGGGCTGCTTCAAGAGCTTCGAGAATCATTTCTTCCACAGGATTTAGTTTTTCAGCATGACGAAGATTGTTGATAGAATTATCTAATTTATCGAGTAGTAAATTGATACCAATTACTACTAAATTCAGAGTCGGAGTTTTTTCAGCACTAAATAAATTTGTCAGAACTTTAAAGTGACGTAAATACTTTGTAACTTCTTTAAAAATTGTCCATTCCTGCTCAGTGATTTTTAATTTTTTCAATTTCTCATTGTGTTCACATAATAAATCTAATGCTGACTCCATACGAATTGCAATTACGATCATATCGTGGGTGGAATTCCACCTTGTCTTCACATCGATGTTAGGTGCCAGCATTTTAACATTACATGATTCACAGCAGAGCTTCAGTTTATTATGTAATTGTTCTGACTTATTTATAATTTTAAATAAACTTCTTAATTTATTTACAGGAGAGCTACAATTTCTTGCATTTGAATCGTTTTCTTCTAATTCCTCTATTTCTCCTAAGTTTTCAGAATCATCGATATTCATTTCATCGTCACTTTCTTCATTTTCCAAATTTCGTTCCTCAATTTTCAAAATTTTTAAAAAGTCCTGAACACCAAGGTTGAGAATATGCGCTATGCATCGAAAATGTTGATTTGTAGAGTCGAAATATTCAACTATCTTTTTTAATTCGCTCATAAAAGTTGTGTTGGATGCAGCATTATCCACAGTTATTCCCATGATTTTATTAACAATTTTATTTTCTTTAACTACTTTGAAAAAACAAGAAGCGATGTCCTTTCCCTTGTGTTTACCATGTGATGGACAAAAATCTAAAACCAGAGAATGAAGCTCCCAATTGTCATCAATAAAATGAGCGGTAATTCCATAGTAGCTTCGATTAGCAGTAGACGTCCAGCCATCAATTGTAAATGAAATTTTGGAAGCATTCAGTTCTAAAATTTTCATTATTCCTTTTTGTTTTTCGTGAAATTGATTCTCAATCAACGATTTTAAACAATTTCGCTTTGGGATTTCAGCTAAAGGATTTAAATATTGAAATAAGTCTTGTGTTTCCTCATCGTCGAAGAAATTAAACGGCAAATATTTCTTCGCGACCAAATTCAATAATTTCTCAGTAAATATTTCTTGTTCAAATCCCTAAAAAACATTAAATAAAGTTTTCAGCAACACTGTTTTTCGTAAATTCTGGTCACAAATATATTATTTTCATATACAAATTCCATTTTTTCAAACTAACGCACTTTCAAGTTTAATTAAATTTAAAATAAAATTAAAAATAATATTTCTATCACTGTGCAAGACTTTTTTCGATATTAATTTAATATCTATTTTTCAATAAATGATTCGATGAAAAATTCTTTTAGAATATAAAAATGCATTTTTTAATATATAAGAAAAAAACAATTTTATGTTTTTTGATCAGCAGAATAGTTTATACTAAACTATTTTATAAACATTTTTAAATAACAAAGATTTAAAAAATTAAAAAACAAAAATGCGTTATTCAGTAAAAAGATTGAAACTTTATAAAATGTGTAGTAATAACTGTATTTAAATTTAAAAAGTTTAACTTTTCATTATTTAAATATATTAACTCTAAGGTTATTAGAAAAATATTACTATTATATTTTAGCAAAATATTGGTCAAAATTTGTATAGTGGGTATTAAAAAAATAATGAAATTTGTACTTTTGATTTTGGAGTCGCAAAGTAGATATCTTTGAATTCCTTTTCGTGATATCGATTAAGATGTCGCTTGACTCCTGATGTATTAGCATCAGTCATTTTTAAAATTTTGATTATTGGTGGCTTATTTGATTCGCAGAGTTTACATCGAGCTTGCTTCATCCCATTTTCGACAAAAATGTGAAAGAATTCGGTTAACTGTGGAGCATTAGTTTTCCTTCGTTTAGCTGACATTTTCTTTCCATCATTATTCTCAACACAACTAGTTCTACGAAATATAAGCGACGATTTATACGTATATATATTAAAAGTATTATAACAACGTGGAATTATAATAAAATTTAATTTTTCATATAGGTTAACTGAATGAAATTCTTTTTAAATATATATATATATATTATTAAATTATAAATATTCTGTGTGCATTAAGGTTTAGTACAAAATTATCAAATATCAAGAATTTTACATAAAATTTATTTTTATAACATTTAAATTATATATGTTTATATTTACTCGGAGAGAATTTCTTCTTCTTGAGTTTGACTATTTTCAGTTTCCTGAACTGTACTCTCATCTAAATTGTCAATAGATTTTGTGCTGTTTCTTTTTCTCATCATTTTGCTGTAATAATATTTTATAGCTTAAAATTGGCAATCTATATTGACACTTCAACGAGAATAATTCATTTGAATGAAGTTGAGAAAAGACGAGTATGAACAAATGACTGGAGATGTTCTCGTTCTGAATATATTCTCGTTTATCAGGTAAACCAAAGAAAAACAACGAGAATTTCTCGCTCGTCGTGCATCTCTAATAGTTATTAACCTTGTGAGCAGCATTACTGATAATACATGTTACATTTCGATAATCAGCCAAGTATTTAAGGCAATATTCTTCACCATTTTCTGGAATATCATTGGATTTTCCTACTAGTTGTTGAATATCAGAAATTTGATTTTCTGCCAATGAATTTTGCATAAATATTGTCATCATTGGTGTCAAATGTGATTTAACAAGTTCTGCGAGAGTTAAAATTTCGGGATTCATACGAAAACTAACATCGAGAATAATTGAATAGAAATAACTTGTATAAACATTACATGCAA